ACCATGTTGACCAGGATGGTCTCGATCTCTTGACCTCGTGATCCACCCGCCTCGGCCTCCCAAAGTGCTGGGATTACAGGCTTGAGCCACCGTGCCCGGCCCTTAATTCCAGAACTTTTTATCACCCCAAAAAGAAACTCCATACCAATTGCAGTCACTCCCATTTTGTCCTTACCCCAGCTCCTGGCAGCCATTTGTCTATGAATTTGCCTATTCAAGATAGTTCATATCGATGAAATCATACAGTCCTTGGTCTTTTGTGACCGGTTTCTTTCACTTCGCATAGTATCTTCAGTGTTCATCTATGTTGTAGCATGTGTCAGTGAGTCATTCCTTTTTATGACTGAATCTTATTCTACAGATATGCTTCATTTATCCATTTATCCTTGGGTAGTTTCTACATTTCAATTATTCTGAATACTGTTGCTATCCTTAATGGAGGTCTGTGTGAAAGAAGTCAAGGTTTCCAAAGTTATGAAAAAACAATTGTTAGGATTAGTGGCTTTTCATAGTAGTACTTTTTTCCCCATTCGTTTTCAGACTCCCTTGGAAGTTTAGGATATTCACAGTTCTGAATGTTAGCCACTGAAAATGCCAGTAGAAGATGAAGCCTCTGAAGATGACACGGATTCAGTTTCCTCAAACAGTCCAGGAACCTCTATTTTCAAATAAGAGAGCATAACAATTTCTGTACACTATGGAAGAATTTGATTTGGTGAAAACCAGACACAAAACTTCATCTATAGAATCTGATAAAAATTCTCCTCATTTACTTGGACTGAACTTAAATACTGATAGGTAAGAATGAGATTTTAAAAAATGTAACAAATCAGAATAACTTTATTTGCGTAGGTTTACCAGCTTATCCAAATAGTGTCTTAGTTACTGATTTGAATTATTATTATTTTTGAAAAAATAGTGTCATAGTTACTGATTTGAATTATTATTATTTTCGAGACAGAGTCTTGCTTGGTTGCCAGGCTAGAGTGTAGTGGCGCCATCTTGGTTCACTGCAATCTCCACCTCTGGGGTTCAAACGATTCTCCTGCCTCAGTCTCTCTAGTAGCTGGGACTACAGGTGCATGCTACCACACCCAGCTAATTTTTGTATTTTTAGTAGAGATGGGGTTTTACAGTGTTGGCTACGATGGTCTTGATCTCTTGACCTTGTGATCTGCCTGCCTTGGCCTTTCAGAGTGGTAGGATTAAGGTGTAAGGCACTGCGCCCGGCCATTATTATTTTTTAACCTATGATTAAGAATGTTCAGGGAGGCCAGATGGTGGCTCATGCCTGTAATCTCAGCACTTTGGGAGGCCGAGGCAGGTGGATCGCCTGAGGCCAGGAATTGGAGACCAGCTTGGCTAACATGGTGAAACCTCATCTCTACTAAAAATGTAAAAATTAGGGCCGGGCGCGGTGGCTCAAGCCTGTAATCCCAGCACTTTGGGAGGCTGAGGCGGGTGGATCACAAGGTCAAGAGATCAGACCATCCTGGTCAACACGGTGAAACCCCGTCTCTACTAAAAATACAAAAAATTAGCTGGGCATGGTGGCGCGTGCCTGTAATCCCAGCTACTCAGGAGGCTGA